ACCCGCCCTCGCACTCGTTCGCCTTTTCCCCAAAATTAAAAGCCCGGACCCTCCGCCGACCCGCTGCTCATCCCCCTGGCTTGCACCCGGGAGCACTGGAGCAAGGCAGAGCTTGAAGGAGACATGGGACACGGGGCAAAAGTTTCTCAAAACTAGCCCCGATTGAGTTTTCTTGCCCCAGACCGCGTCTCTGCAGAGGACCGACCCGGCTGGGTCACATCCAGACTGCGCAGACGCTGCAGCGAATGGAGCAGAACCTGCCAAAGCCCTCGGAGCATTTTTTTTACAGTGCGCACCTCAGCTGCCATAACTGCCATCCTGGGTCGGATGGTAGTCACCTGGGTCCCCCTGGCCACATCCCCAGCTGGATAATAACTGCCACAGCGGAGCGGGACAGCCACCGGCGGGGCTGCTCGGCCGCGGTGCTCCCTGCGGCAATCACGGCAGCGGGTGCAACCTCTGCCACCATTTATTGGGGCGGTTCAGGGGTTGGCTGCACTGTGTGGATGGTGGGTTCTTCCCTGGAGGAGAGATCTTGTTCTTCTCCTGGGCCCGAGGGCCGTGCCAGGTGTCTGCCAGAGCCTGGCCCCCCGCCCGGTGCAGCCTGCAGGGAGCTATGGGTCCCCAGGAGCCCCTCACCGAGTCAACCCACTCAGATCCAGCGCCGTGCCCCCGTCACGCTGTTGAAGAGGTAGTCCCTGCCGGTGCCTGAGATGGGAGGCAACACGCAGCAGTTGCCCCATGGGCACTGCCCAGGCGTCACCGCCTGGTGCCCATCTTTCCTGTCCCCCAGAACCCTCTGCGTGGGGCTGTGGGAGCGGGTACTCACGTACGTCCTGGGCACGGCCATCAAACTGCCTCTGTGCAGAGGAGAGACAGGCGAGGGTGCTGAGGACCCCAGGGCTCCCTCCTGCACCCCCAGTGAGGCACCTGCCCTTGCTGCTGCAGCAGGGACTTACCAGGGTGCTGGCATGAGGGTGGTCCCGCTCCTCCTCACCCTTCTGCTCTGCAACATCCCAGGAGCTGCAGAGGGAAGAGGGGGTGAGCAGAGGGCATGCTGTTGGTGATGTGCCCCTGGCCTTGACCCCAAGGGATGCTGCCAGGAGCAGGTTGCCAGCCAGGCTTTTCACTGCCAGCTGCACCCCATAGATCCCATCATCCACCTACCTGGTCGTGCCCTTTCCCAGCCCATGTGTCCCCTGGGCACCGAAGGGGATTGTGGCAGGGGCTGTGCTCCCACCTTTCAGTGATGCCCAAAAGCAGCAAGCTGGTCTGCCACCAGATCTGCTTGTTTCCCCACAGGCCAGCACACACCATTCTTGTGCTCAGAGGATGCTGTGCTGGCAGACCTGCAGACTGGAGCCCCTCTGCTGCCAGGGACACCTGCAGGGGCTGAGCCCAAGTCTTCTCCTCTGCATGATCACTACAGCCCCAGTGCCACCAAGCACGGTGTCCCCAGCCTCACCAGTGATCAAGGACACGGCCGTGCATCACCCCGGGGCAGTTACGCCACAGGAGGCAGCTATTATGCCACTGGAGGTGGCTGTTATCCTGCCCACGGGCTCACATGTCTCTTCCTTGCCATGCAGATGCCCAACGCAGGCTGGGCCGACTCCAGTGTCCCCTTGGGCTCTCCTCTGTGCTGTCTGTCACCCCTCATTCATCCTCCTGGAGGGGTGTGCTGCCTCTCACCTCCTCTTGGGGAGCTTTCTCCATCTAATTGGGGCTCCTCTGGCGAGCCACGGTGAACCCAGCCCTGGTGCTGGGACCCAGCCCTGTGGCGGGCTGCAACGCCAGTGCTTTGCCATCCCACTGCAGAGTTTGTGCCCCAGCCTGGCTATGGACATGACCATCCGCTGGCCAAATCACCACCTCTGCACACATGGCTCCCATCAATGCTGCATCCTTGCCTTGGGGCAGAGCTGGCTCCCTGGCACAGCAACCCACAGATCACAGCCAAACATGGGGTGCATTAAACACCCCTCACATGCTGCGTCTCCCTGAGGAGGACACTACAGGAGCCTGTGCCAACATGCACGGCTGTCCCTCGCTGCTGGTATGCCCACCTCAGCCGTGCAGCACCCACCTCTTGGCCAGGAGCAGCTTGCCAGGGTCTCTGTAGCTGCAGAAGGAGCAGAGGGCAGACATGAGCCCCTGATTTTTCTCACGGTGCCGTGCCATGCTGTGCCGTGCCAGGGGGCCAGGGCTCACCTGCGCAGCAGGCTCCAGGCCACACAGCCCAGGGCAGCCAGCAGCAGGGTGCTGGAGACAGTCAGCACGGCCACGAACCAGGCGGGCGGGTGCCACACTGCCTCCGTCCGCGTGATGAGCAGCGGCCCCTGTGGCAGCGTCTGCGGAGCCGGTGGGGTGAGGTGGCACACGGGGGCTGGGTTCCTCACGGACCTGCTCAGGGGGCTCTGCTCACCGTGCGCCGGGTGGTGGTACTGGGTGGCACCAGGGTACTCCGGGGGGTGACGTGCAGCACCAGTGCCACCACGGTGCTGCGGCGGAGGGCACTGGGGACACCCCACACCTCCACCAGCAGCACAAAGGTGCGGGGCCCAGCCAGGTCATTGGAGAGGTAGAAGACGGTGTTCCCCTCCAGCCGAAAGCACCCGTCCTCGTTGCCTGGACAAGAAAGTCTACACAGTGCCAGGCTACACTACGGTGAGGGGCTGGGTTGTGCTCTGCTGTGACCACCCCTCACCTCCAATGATGGCGTATGCCAGCCCGATGCCATCAGGGCTGCCCTGGCACACCAGGTGGGTGACAGGCTGGCGGCCACCTGATTCGGCCGTGATCCGCAGCTCCTGCACGTCAGGGGTGCATACGGGTGCCTGATCCGGCACGGCCTGCCAGGAACAGGGAGAGGTGGTATGGCACCCACAGTGCTTGCACCCACTGTGGCTCACCCCACGGGTGTGCACTGGCACCTGCAGGCGCACGGTCACGTCACACAGGCAGCTCCGCCGCTTTGCTGGGTCCAGGTCGTTGTGGGTGTCCATCAGCCGCACCGTCAGCCTGTAGCTCTTGGGTCGCTGCGAGCCGAGGGGTCCCACCACACGGATATCCCCTGCAGGGTGACACGAGCTGCTGGGCACCCGCGGGTGCGGCGGGGGGGCGCGCGGGGTGTGGGATGGCTGGACGCTCACCGGTGTGCGCATCGATGGAGAAGGGCTGCGTGGGGCCGGGGTCCCCCTCCAGGCTGTACTCGAGGCTGTCCAGGGGGTAGTCGCGGTCGGTGCCGGCCACGTGCCCCACAGTGCTGCCAAAAGCCGCAGTCTCCAGCACAGTGAAGGTGGCACCACTGGGGCATTCCGGGGTGAATTCGTTGACAGGCGTCACCGTCACGAGCATGGGCACTCGGGCTGTGTGGCAAACAGTGGCTCAGCCACGCTGGCACCACCCCGCAGCCTGCACCGGGCTGGGTGTGCTCTGCCCGGACAGGCTGGGGGACAGGGGACGGTGGCACCAGCCCTGGGGTGGGCACCTCCAAGGCAGTAAGGGAGGAGTGTTTCCTCTGTGATCTGCTGGTTTTGGGGGTCAGGAAGGGCTTTTCCCACCTCCCCTACTGCAAAGGGCACTCCACAGTTACTCACTGCTCTGTGGGGGCTGCCCTCCTGCTGTCACCACGATGGTGGCTGTGAACTGGAAGCCCACAGTGGCCACGGCCTCACTGTCATAGTCCAGGGTGGTGTTGACCTGCTGAGCCAGGGTGGGGAGTCATGCAGAGTCGAGATGCCCTGCAAAGCTGTGATGCCAGGGGAGCAGGAGGCTGCAAGGTGGAGGACGGGCAAGCCTTGGGGTGCAGAGGCCCCCAGGAAGCCTTGGCCTGGGACCCGGCATGATGGCACATATCAGAGTGTCCCCACTGTCCTGCTGGGCTCCCCTGGGTCCAGGCTCGCCAGCCACCTGGGCACTGCCCCCAGCCCCACTCACCTGCAGCCTTGGCCCCTCCATGCAGAAGCGGGAGCGAGAGGTGTGGGGCCCCTCGAGGGCATAGTGCAGAGGCCCCCTGGTGCTGGTGGCATCAGTGCACCTCAGTGTCACTAGGGTGGTGCCAGGTGACACTGTCTCGGGCACCTGGGACCTGCGGTGGGACAGTCAGCAGCTCAGCTCCTGTCTCCCTTGTCCTGGCCACGGCAGAGCATCCCCTGTGCCCCATTTCTTCCCCAAACCGTACACGAAGAAGGCTGGAACGCAGCTTGGTGCCCACCAGTTTGTCCCCTCCACGGTGATGTTGAGCGTGGCAGTGGCGTAGTCATTGGGGTGCAGCACATCGTAAGCCTGGATGAGGAGCTGTGCACGGGCCACCTCCAGCCGGCGGGTGCTGCGGATCTCACCCGTCACTGTGGGAGAAAGAACCACGTTGCACTGGGCACCAGGACAGAATGGTCCTGTGCACCTTCACTGCCCCACTTACTCTCATCGATGGTGAAGAGCGTGGGTGCCACGGGAGCAAGAATGGTGTAGCGGATGTTGTCACCAATGGCATGGACCTGTGTGACCACCTCCAAGGGGCCGGTGCCCTCCGGCACCGTCACAGCCTGCTGTGGCTTGCTGCAGGCAAGGTGGGCAACATGGCATGGCCTGGGGCCACCAGCAGCCCCCCGCCAGCCCAGCCC